AAAAAAAACATTAGGTCTTGTCCGGGTTCACCCAGGTCATAGGTCGACTCGTCGGGTCGACTAGGTCTTGCCAAGTTGTTACATCTACCGGTCTTTTAACAAACCGAGATCGATCCAGCCACTAAGTCGAACCCGCCAGGGCGATCCAGGTTTAATAATATTGGTTATCATAGTCTCATAACCTAAGTCATGACTTTGACAGGTTAACCCAAGTTAATCTAGGTCAATTTATTATATTATTATCTTAATATTTTAAAAAAAAAAAATTCTTTAATTTTTTTAGTCAAACTACTTTTATTGGTTATGTGTGTTACTTTTGTCCCCTGCATTATATCAAACTAATTTTCATATAGTTTAATTTTTTTTATAGAAAAAATTATTAATAATATTTGAACTTTTTTTTATGTTAAATATTTCTTATCCAACCCATTTCATGCCACGGGAAAACAATATAGTGTAAATTGATATCGAGGTATATTTATTCTAATCGGAATTGTCCAACTAGTTTTCACTGTAGAGCAACGAAGCAAATTCATTGCTTATAGTACCTTTGTTCAGAAATGAAGGTGAAAAGAAATATATACATAATTTTTCAAAGAGTTTTAAATATTGTACTATTAAAAAGAAAATCATTTATATGACTTTAATCAATATATGCGTGTCTATAGCTCAATACTAACAATTTCTTTTACTGCATTTTTCTTCTTGTGTGTTTATTTAATTTAGGCAAAAGTAATTGTTTCGTTTGCTTTGCTGATAGCATATTGGCATAGCAGCAAGTGAACTTCTTATAACATTTTTACTTATGAGATTAAGAGTATGAGTCTCATTGATTATAGCTTGTAGTTGGTAGAACTTCCATGTCTTTACACATGAACATAGATACATTCAAAAATATCTTAATATTTCATGTCAAAGAAATAGTGCAATATATTGGTGTGGTAAAGACCCTTTCAAATAAAAATAAAATAACGTAATATAAACATAATATTCCATGTCAAAAAAAAAAAAATGAAATAACCTACCAGCTTCCTACTTTTTTATTTTAAGATCAGCCCAGCAATTTCAATTACCTTATTTTAAAAAGTGTTTAATGATTCAGAAGAAACCAGTGTTTCCAAGGAAAAAAATATTTTCCTATAATGATTAATGTAAAGAAAATTCATTGATATGAGTTACATCTTAGTGGGATTTTAAATTGCAGTTTTCTTCAATAAAATAATAGATTAAAGTTCTATAAATTAAGGGGAAAGTAGCTCAATTTTTTCTTATATTCCATTCCTTATATCAACAATTTACCAATAATATGAATTAGGTAACTTAAATATTCTTTTATACTTAATTAACAAAAGCTAATTGAGAATGAAAAATACTCTTTATTGATCAATTTACTTATCATTAGAATAGTGTGTTGGCTAATTTACCATTTTAAAAAATTGATAAATGAGCTTTTAGGATAATATTATCCTTTCATAAAATTCATTAGTTATTATTATATTGATGAGAACAAGTAGAACTTTATGCATTTTAAAAGGACGATGAAATGAATAAATTACTCTTAAAAACAAAACTTATTTAATTGACATCGAGGAGTTTTTTTGTATTTTTATTCTGATTTTTTAATTATTATCAAGTTGATTGAGAGGATAATTTGATGTTTTAATAAATATAAAATATAATTAAAAAAAAATGATTAACGTAGGCAACGCACACACCAATAAAAGGGAGGCATCCACGGTTTTTTGGTGGCACGTACAACATCTAAACAACAGCTTTTGTGATAGTGTTGGAAGCGTTGAGGCATCTCATTTTGCATGAGGCAACTTATATTGCCATTTACGTTACTTATGTATTGTTAATGATTTTTTTCTCTCTCTCTCTTTCTTCTCCTCTTGAAATTCACACTAACCATTCAAAATTTTCCTCTCATTTACTAATATTTCAACTTTAGTCATTTTTTTTATATTTATAATTTTTGTTAGTGGTCCTTTTGTCAAGCTTCTATTTGTTTTTAATTTCATCATTAAATCCATAATTGTGATTTATTTTATTTTATTTTTTAAATATGATTCTCATTCTTTTGGTTTTGATTTTTCTTTTTTTTTAAGATCTTTTTGTGAATTTAATTTTTTCCTTTAATTCAAAATTCTAAGTTGTCCTCTTATTTATTTTTTATTTTGAATTTGATGTCATTCTCTTAATTGTTATTTTTTATTTTGGACCTTTTTGTATAATTAATTTTTTTTTATTTTATCCTTTGACATTTGAATTATTATGAATTGGGTTTTGTGATTTTTCTAGATAAGGCGCTTCCGATTTCGTAACTTAAGTCACATGTTTGAAAAGTTAACATCATTTTTTTTTCCACTTATTTTTTTTCAATTTCATCCTTTGATGTTCTTTATTTTGAAAAATAGTCTTCGTGATTTTCTTCAATTTTCTTTTAATCACTATTATTAAACTCGGATCGGCCCAACGGGTCGACTCGGGACCTTGTGGTTGGATCGGTCCAAGTTGTTAAAAGATCGGCTGGGGGGACAAACTTGCAAAACTTGGTAGACCCGTGACCCGAGCAAACCAGGACGAGACCCGGTGTTTTGTTTTTTAAAATGTGGTTTTTCTCCTATACCTCTCTTTTTTTATATTTTTTTAGTTGGTTATTAACACTTTTTAAAGTTCACTATATAAATATTAGAAAAATATTTTATTTTTTCAATGTGGAATTGAAACCCTTTAATATATATACTCTATGTTTCTAAGAAAAAAGTTGTTTATCAATGTGAGAATTGAAACCCTTTCGTATATATATTCTATGTTCACAAGAAAAAAATTATATTTTTTTCAATATGGAATTTGAAGTTCTTTAGTATATATACTCTATATTTCCAAGAAAAAAATTATTTTTTCAATGTGAGATCTGAAGTCCTTTTGTATATACACTTTATGTTCACAAGAAAAAAAATTATGTTTTTTTTAATATAAGGTAAAAAAATTAATTTAAATACTTCAACTTAAAAGGATAAAATAGTATCTTTTCAATGTAGGATTTGAAGCCCTTTAATACATATACTCTATGTTCTCAAGAAAAATTTTATTTTTTCAATGTGAGATTTGAAACTTTTTTGTATAAATACTTTATGTTCATAAGAAAAAAGTTATATTTTTTTAATGTGAAATTTGAAACCTTTTAGTGTGTGTGTGTGTGTGTGTGTGTATACACTCTATGTTAAAAAAAAAAAGTTATTTTTTCAATGTGGAATTTGAAACACTTTCATATATATACTTTATGTTCACAAGAAAAAAGTTATCTTTTTTTCAATGTGGCATAAAAAAATTTTAAAATATTCTTTTAAATTTCATTATTTACAACATGTATAGCTTATATTCACATAGATTTTTTCTTATTTTTTTCATATGAAATATTAAAACTTTAATTATTATTTTTTTAATTTTTCAAGGTTGATCCGGGTTGACTTATAAAACCTAGGACCTGGCCTCTTGTACTGGTTAACCTTTAGGCCAGGTTTGATAACTATGCTTTTAATTAAATTATCTCAATCTCATGACTTAAATAATAGGTTTGGCTAGTTAACTCAAGTATTTTTTTTATAGTCAATTTTTTTATTTTTTTTTAGTTTCCTCCTTCAAAATTATGTTCTTTGTAAAATTAAGCTTTATTATTCATTTAGTTTTTTCTTCTATTAGGTTATCTCATTTGCATAATCTAACTTGTTAAGTTTGATGGCCTTACCTAGGTTTGCAGGTGTTTTATTTTTTTGGGATAATTTTTGTTGATATGTTTTTTTTTTAGTTTTCTCGTTCTATATTTAGATTGCTAGGAATTAGTCATTGTTATTTTTTTCAATTTTCTTTTTATATTTATATGTCCTTCCAACTCAGGTTATGAGCTTGTCATACTAATTTGGATTAACTAAAAAAACTTTATAATTTTATTTTCTTCTAACAAGAGATTTTTTTCTAGTTGATTCATAAGAAAAAAGTTATGTTTTTTTTAATGTGGAATAAAAAAAAAATTAAAATATTCTTTTAAACTTCATTATTTACAACATGTATAGCCTATATTCATATGAATTTTTTTTTTCATATGAAATATTAAAGTTTTAATTATTATTTTTTTTAATTTTTCCAGGTTGATCCGGATTGACTTATGAAACCTAGGACCCGGCCTCTTGTATGGGTCAACCTCTAGGCTAGGTTTGATAACTATGTTTTTAATTAGATTATCTCAATCTCATGACTTAAATAGCAAGTTTAGCTAGTTAACTCAAGTATTTCTTTTATGGTCAGTTTTTTTTTTTTTTTTTTTCCTCCTTCAAAATTATGTTCTTTGTAAAATTAAGTTTTATTATTCTTTTAGTTTTGTTTTCTATTAGGTTATCTCGTTTGCATAATCTACCTTGCTAAGTTTGATATCCTTACCTAGGTTTGTAGGTGTTTTATTTTTTTAGGATAATTATTATTGTTATTTTTTTTTTAGTTTTATTATTCTATATTTAGATAGCTAGAAATTAGTCATTGTTATTTTTTTCAATTTTCTTTTTATATTTATATATCCTCACAACTCGGGTTATAAACTTGTTATGCTAGCTTGGATTAACTAAAAAAAACTTTATAATTTTATTTTCTTATAATAAGAGATTTTTTTCTAGTCGATTCAGTTACTTTCATTACTATCTTATTAGATTCAGAATGATTTATATTCTATCACTTGAGCCATAAGAAAATTTTCTTTCACTGTAGTTCGTTTTTTTTACATTGCTAAAAGGTTGGTCAGACCGCGAAAAAAGGCGTGCCACCTACTAGACAAAAGCTATAATAACCTCTCATGTATATTATCAAAATTCCTGCGGTAATTAATTAATATAATAATCCTTTGAAGTCGGCAAAACTCTCTCGTCCAAGCTTGTCCATTCTTTTTCCTCAAAAGCCTCTCTTCCACAATTAACCAAAACGTAGATTTCTTCATATCCTTTCTCTCTTCCACAATTAACCAAAACGTAGATCCTTCACTGATCCTCTACCTTGTTAATTTCCCTTAATCCATCATCCTTCACATGATTTAACAATTTCCCATCGTTAACTACATCATATCTTTCAGAAACCTTGCACCATGGCATCTCCTGGCCATAATCTCCTCATATTACTTCTTTTCTTCATATCCTTTCCATGTTCGAAGTCCAGACTCTCCGTCGACTACTACAACAAAACATGCCCACAATTCGCTTCTATCATGGAACAGATCGTCTCGGACAAGCAAATTGCTAGCCCCACCACTGCTGCCGGCGTTCTTCGCCTCTTCTTCCACGACTGCATGGTGGAAGGCTGTGATGGCTCCTTGCTCATCACCTCCACATCCTTCAACAAAGCTGAACGTGATGCTGACATCGACCAGTCCATCCCTGGAGATGCCTATGACCTTGTCACTCGTGTGAAGACTGCCCTCGAGCTCCAGTGCCCCGGCATTGTCTCTTGTGCTGACATTCTAGCCACCGCTGCACGCAACCTTGTCACAATGGTGGGAGGTCCTTACTACAATGTGCGTCTAGGACGCAAAGATGGCCTGGTATCCAACGCCTCTCTTGTACAAGGCAATATTGCTCAACCAACCATGCCATTGACAGATATCATCTCCCTTTTTCATTCCAAAGGGTTTTCAGTGCAAGAAATGGTGGCTTTGGTCGGTGCTCATACGATAGGGTTTTCCCATTGCAAAGAATTTAGTCACAGGCTTTTTAACTTCAGCAAGACTTCAGAGACTGACCCTGCATACTACCCCATATATGCAGAAGGGCTAAGGAAATTATGCGCAAATTACACTAAGGACCCAACTATGAGTGCTTATAATGACGTGATGACACCAGGGAAATTCGACAATATGTACTATAAAAATCTGCAAAGGGGATTAGGGTTGCTGTCAACAGATCAAGCCCTTTCTGTGGATAGGAGGACCAAGCCCTTCGTAGACTTGTATGCTGCAAATGAGACCGCATTCTTTGAAGCTTTTGCACATGTAATGGAGAAAGTTGGCATTTATAAGATCAAGACAGGGAAGAAAGGAGAGGTGAGGCACAGGTGCGACCAGTTCAACGATGCCAAGATTAACTAGAAATGGTAATCGTTTCCGGCTTTAGTTTGAAGAGAAGGGTCCATGATTGTGATTAGGGAAGTCTTTCTGTTGTTTCTATTATTTCACTAGAGATACATCCTTCTTTTTTTCCTCTCTTTCTTTCTGTTGTTTCTATTATTTCACTAGAATCCTTCTTTTTTTCCTCTCTTCTCTTGGGCGAAACAGATGCATCCTTCAATATAATATACATCAAGCACGCACACTTGATGAATGATAATACACTTCCAGAGCAGCACTGTGATCCGGATATTACAAATGCAGAAGCTGACATATCCAAGATGTACGTACTAGTCTTCAGAGCATCATCAAGGCGAGGGGAAAAAGGTTTCCCTGTCCATATATTTGGTACAAAATAATGTAATGTAAGATAGTGTGATTAAGAATCATCTAATGGAATTAAGAATTTAATGCGATCATGATTACAAAGCATGCCATTAGTTTATAGATGATTTCTAGATCACCACCTTCAACTCGCACGAGACTCCACATAATGCCCATTGAAAACACTGACTGCAAGGTTTCATTTCTCAGTGAAAATAACCACTGACAAATCATTGAACACACTGTAGAGGAGTGGGAGAGAACCTCTAGGAGTCGGTGTTTTCTTAATTACATTAGATTAACTTGGATAGTTAAGTGACAGAACCAGAACAACGAAAGAAAGTTGCACTGCCTATGGTTGCGCTATCAGTAACAACAGATTTTCACAACAGAAAAGTTGAAATGGAAGTGACCTAACTACAAACCAATTATTGTCCCACTTGGGCAGTACAGAACATGTGCATGATGTGGTTATTATCTTCCATTTTAAAAACAGAACCCCTGCCAAACGTTGATGAGAGGATCTTCATGAATAATTAATGCAATTTACAAGTACGTGTTCCTACAATCTGGGGGAAAGATCAACAGAATGACCAAAAGGAGTGCACAAAGGAAGGAATTTTACAATATCAACGAGATGCTGTCATTCTTACAACCTGGCAGAACATGACCACAAGACAAAACCACCATCTGCACTTCACATGGCAGAACAATAGAATGACCACTCATGGTCGAGAAATTGCTTAACCTCTCATACTTCACTAGCACTAGCGCCAGAACACAAGCAAATTAATGAGTGCAGACAGTTAATCCATTAACCCTAGTGCATCAGATTCAGCCTCCCGTATCCAGCTAGGATTTTGCATTCACAGCAGGAGTACAATTAAACTATTGTCCAAGGCAAAGACACAACATGCAATAAGAAAAAGCAAATGTCGCAGATCTTACCATATTTAGCAAGGCTTTCTTTTGTCAACTTTTAAGTGGATGTTGAACCATTTCTTCTTCTTAGATCTATCCCTCGTAGGTTTCTTATCTCTCACTTGTGCATCTTCTTTGGTCTCCCTGAAGGGACCCTTATTCCTGCTTTTACTTGAGCTCCGCTTCATTGGCGGAGCAATGGTGTAGGAGGCATGAATTTCATTCCTTTGTCTAAGAAGCTCATCAATCTGCAAAACCAATATCAACAGTGAAGATTCAGAAAACATCAATCTATTCATACCTCATCTTCATGTAGATATCAGCAACAAATTTTGACAAGTTAAACTCACTGCTTGCATCTCTTGTGCATATCTACTGGTCATCTCGGTAAATTGAGCCAATACCTGTCAGAAGGCCACAAAAATTACTAACAAAGAGAGGCAAGTGCAGACAACTATAGACTGCAGAAGTCAAGTGCAAACCTCTCGATATTCAGTTTCAAACTTGGATATTTCTACCCTCTTTCCAAGAATCTCAGCTTCAACAGCTCTGAGATTAGCTTTTTCTTCCATAAAAGGTGCGGCACAAAGAGCTTCTATTGAGTAACTTGCACTTTTAAAAAAATTGTCACCTGGAAGAAAGAGCCAGGACCAGAAAGATGCTGTCAGCCCATCCGCACATATATTATCAAAGCATAGTACCCTAAACAACAAGAAAAGTCTTAGAACCGACCATAGACCCCAAAAACATGGGTGCCAGCCTTCAGTTCAGATATTTCACATGGCTGAAACCCATCCAATTTTTTGAAGAAAGCAGCATCAGCATCTTTTGCAGCTGCAATCTGAAACCACAACAATTCCACAACCAAAATGAAGATGAATGAATCAAATAAAAGACAACTATCAATGATGACACTTGACACTGATCTCTTAAATCATCAGCTTACAGAGTTGACAGTGTGATCCAGCCGGTATACAGGAAAACATAGAAAGTACATTCCAGCAGATGTAACCTTTCCTGTTTTAGCACTGTCTTCCTACACCAAAAAGCAAACCAGTAAAAAGGGGTTAAATGTAATGATATTGAATGTTGAATGTGTTTAGTCAAGAATATTAAACTAGAGTCTATTGAGCTAAAAACATGGCAAACATGCAAAGGCAGATCAATTCCAGAAAGAACTTCATCAATGGTAGCTCCCCTTTTGACCAAGTAGTGTCCATCATAATTAGGGATCTAGTTAGTTACACTTCACTAGAGAGAGATCTAAAATCTCTTTTGTGGGAAGATCTCCAATCTGCTGGTCGTAATATGATAAATGAAGTCAATGTTCTTTAAGATCCATCCAAGACTAGAATCAACGTAAGAATATGGAACTGTTGGCTTTGATTTAAAATGATCTACCAACAAGAAAAAGAAAAAGACAGGGGAAAGTGCATCATACCTGTAGAGCTAGGCTTAATCCTCCACCACTTTCTTCCTGATCAAAATACAATAACTGCACAAAAGACACTCAATCAGTATGCCAAATGATCATTTTTCAGGCATAAGTTATAGTTGGAGAAAATTACGCAATTGATATCACTTGGGAACTCACCACATGAAACTGCTAAAAATGAAAAAAGAATTGTGGGAATCTGAAATTTGTTTGACAGCAATAAGGAGGGTGCGAGACATGGGTTATAAGACCCAGCCTGTCAGGTCAGCCTAGTTGTCCACCTACCCAAGGCTTGGCCTGGTCGGGTTAATGGAAAAACCCAGCCTTTTTTTTACCAAAATGATGTGTTTTAAGGGTTTTTAGAAAACAATCTTGGGTTGACCTAGGCCTTAGGCTGGTCGATCCTCAACTCTGTTCTTATAATTATGGTGTGAGAAACTTTTGGACTGGTTGTCAGAAAACTAAAACAATCCAGGAAGAGACATTTTTCATATAAACATTTTAATCAATTTTTTCTCTTTCTTTTTGCCAAGGTTTCCAACAAAATGCCCATAAGAAACAGTTTCAAGTTTCATAAGCTCATAAATCTGCTCCCAGAGCACAAAGTCATTGAAAGCCCAAGCACTGAAAGGCAAAGATGGAATATTTGGCATATAATCTGTATCCCATAAAGGCCAGGAAGTCTTCTTTTTCCTTGCAAGGAAAGAACTGATGGAGAATGATTGAAGATTTTCTTATGTATATAGTTATTTTAGAGTTATATCTTCCAGTTAGAGTTGACTATTTATTTTGTACTACCAGTAATTGTCTTTTGGTTTTTTACTTCCAATCATTATCCTATCATTCTGGGTTTAGGGTTTTCATTACTCACATAAGAGCAAGAATTATTGTTCAGAGACAGTCATTGATGAATGAAAGTTCAATTTTGAGATTGATAACTCTCCATCCCATTCAACCCGCCCCCGCAAAGAAAAACAAAATTAATTTTCTTGGTTTCTTCCATACCCGTTTCTGATACTTCTCTACTCCCTGATTCTTTTTATCAAGTAGTATCAAGGAACAGATTTCCATGTCCCAGAACATAACCAAAAAAAATCTAAATTCATTGCTTCCAAAAGAGAAGGTCTATCAGATTCTTCATCAGTACAGAAAGGTGAAGAGAAAAACAAATGCAGAAAAATAGAATGTTTCCAACAGAGCTAAAGAAAATCAATTATGATGATTAAGGAAAATGCGAGGCCAGATGAGTCAAAAGACAGTGTTTACAGTAAACTCTTTCAGCATCAACTTAGGAAGCCAAATATCTTCTTTCATTCCTTATTAACTATGAAAAAAGGAGACTCTCTACAATTGGGGTTGTCATCATCATTGCAGTACTTATTCAGCACCAACATAGGAGACCAGTAAACTCCTCTCTTGAAGAGTGATAATGCCCAAACAGACCAAGCAGTCAAGAACCAATATTTTCCTATAGGAAATATTAAATCAGACAGCTCCGGCTTATCAACAAATTCACAATCAATTAAATTCAAAGCTTTAACCCCTATCACGCCCAGTCAGCTATGCTTATTTTGTTGGATTGGCCACAGATTTTTACATGTGCTTCCAACCAATGAAAAGTACCACTAATAGTGAGGAAGCAATAAAAGGCAACCTTGAGTAAAAAAGCTCTCTGTTATTCATTAAAAACTTCAGAATACCAATCTACCAAAAATATACCTCTCTACACACTGTCACATATTGCAATGTGTCATTTGTTCCAAAGAAAATTTGGGAAAATGCAAATAGTACCCTGTGGATTGGCACACGTGCACTTCAGAGACTGAGAATTTGGCACTTCAGTGACTTGTGATTTTCTCTGATAGCATCTGCCTTTTTTTGTCATTTAAGTTGCTAGATATAAATCCTCAAACTTTTTACATTTTTAATTTCATAAAATTGAACATTTAATTCAACACTGTAACAGACACTTCCTGTACATGAAATGTGTCACAATTTATATTTTATGATCCAACTACCTTGGACAACAAAAAAAATGAAATACATTCATAGAAAAAAGAAAGAAATACACTACTTTTTATAATACCAAGAAAACCATCCACGGAATAGAGTGCCCTGTACATAACTAATGGAAAAGGGCAAATGCAATAAATGAAACCACGAGTATTGATACATATTCAAGATTGAGGTTGATAACATAAATTTTATCAATTGATAGAAATTATAGCAATTAGAAGAAGAAAAAAGTTGGACTTATTTTAGCGAACTTAACTAATGGAAAAGGGCAAATGCAACATATGAAAACATGGGCATTTGAAGTTTAAAAATTTGAAACTTGTTCAATAACTGCAAATGCACCAACCACATGATAGCTTTTCGTAACTTTTCCCTAGAAACTTGCCATTATATGGTGCAATTC